CACTGTGGGTCAAAATAATGCGCTGTGATCGACACGTTGGATGCGATCTGTTGGATGCGATCCGATGGATGCGATTATCTCACAGAGTCTCTCGTCCTCCACAATGTTAATTGTCCTGCAAGCTGTAGCCACCGCCACCCATTTAGCTATCGCTGTTGAAAGCTTGCTGCTCGTAGACGCCGTGTCCAGGCGTCTCCCCGGGCAAACTTTCAAGCGTGGTCTGCCGCAAGCGAGCGGCAGGAGCGGGGCTGTCAGCATCCCCAGCTAGAAGTGTTTGGTTCTAAAAACATTCTGAGAATGTTACAGTCATTGTTCTAGGAAGGTTTTCAGCGGGAAGTTTTTGTTTGGTTCCCAGAACGTTCTTCTGAAAGGTAGGATAACGTTCTCTAAAAACATTCTTAAAATGTTTGGTGATAACATTGTTAGAACATTATGCCCTCCTATTCTTAAAACGTTTTCAGCAGAAGCTTTTATTTTGGTTCCCAGAATGTTCTTCTGAAAGGTAGGATAACGTTCTCTAAAAACATTCTTAAAATGTTTGGTGATAACATTGTTAGAACATTATGCCCTCCTATTCTTAAAACGTTTTCAGCGGGAAGTTTTTGTTTGGTTCCCAGAATGTTTTTCTGAAAGGTAGGATAACGCTCTCTAAAAACAATCTTAACATGTTTGGTGATAACCCTCTTAAAATGTTTTTGAAAACATTGTTAGAACATTATGCCCTACTATTCTTAAAACGTTTTCAGCAGAAGCTTTTATTTTGGTTCCCAGAATGTTCTTCTGAAAGGTAGGATAACGTTCTCTAAAAACATTCTTAAAATGTTTTTGATAACATNNAAGTACCACACGCCTGACACACATAGAAGCAAAAGGGGCACATTTTCATGCTAGTGCAGTCATTAGTGTGTTTGTGCTGCCTTGTCTTTTTTCCCCACGCTTTGGGTAGAGCTTAATTTGAATCAAAATATAATTGAGATACTTGAGGATGTGATAATCTACACAAAAAAGCACACCCAGACTAACAAAAACAGGTGAGCGGGGAGACAATTAAGGACACGGTGAGGGGGGACAGGACAACACAGGGCACCAGGTGGCAACACAAAATCAGAACACCACCGCGCGCACACGCGCCGGCACCATCTTGTTCGCCTCACACTATTAAAACAATGAATTGCACTATATACCAACATGTCCACGTGAGCTCCTAGTACGGCGTCCAAATACACACCAGACGTTAACAAGATGTACCGAGAGCTGACAGGCAATATATTCTCTATTATAAAATAAATGAGCAGTTGAAAAAGGAAGTAAACAATCAAGAGTGATTGACAAAACCACAGGATAATAGTGAAAGAGAAGAAGACTAAAAAGGCAACATACCCACATAGAACAGGAGATGGAGACATAGAGATGGATAGATAGAACACACCATAATAATATATATAGCACACAGAAGCAGACATTCTACATGAAACAACACACCACATATCCATGAGTTGTATGTTTCTCATTACCAGACATAAAATTTCATAATGACATAAATAAACAAAAGAAAAAAAATATATTTCATTTTTACAAGTGGCATGTTTGTATTGAATAGAGGTTATTAAACAGTGGAATAAAACGAGTTGGTATAAGGTATGGAAATGGCACGGAAAATGTCTGTGGATTGAGATGAACGATTAAGGATGCACATAAACATCGAGTGCATGAACACTACCCAAACATTAGTTGTCTAACTTGAACGTAAAACACTTGTAGCCCTGTCTCATGCATTCCCTTATTCCACGCAATAAGGGGAATGTCAAACACGGCCGCATCCGCGGCTCGCTGTTCTTACACCACTCCCCCTCCTCGCCGCTGAACATTATGAATAAAAGCGTAGTAATCATAGATAGAACGGCAGGATCCGTGACAGTTTTGTTTCATCTGATTTTCAAATAAACAAAGTCTTGGTTTTAAGATATTAAAACTTGTTTCACCAAATCAGATGATGAAAATACAACCTTTTAAGCTGGTAACGGCATAATTACAGCAGCAACTTAACGTCACAGCAGCATAACAACAGCCGGCTGTTTCTTGTGAGGGTTTCCCCGGGAACAAACATACACCCACAATGCGTCACTAGGAGTCTAGTGGACGGTATCAGTACTAACAAGTAAACCAAATTTACAAATACTTTTTTTAAATATTCTGTTTTAATTAAATTACGTTGTTCTAAATTATTCTGAGGGCACAAAAAGAGGAGGTGGGGGCCACATTGCGCCCGCGGCCGCCATTTGCGCCCATCCTGCCTAGAATTTAGATTATTTCCAGTCTTACTGAGATGCTGTCTGGTGCATTCTCTAGACTGGATTATACAGATGAACCACCACCAATATTCAATAATTTGTACAATTCTCATTTTTTTGCTATACTGTTGTGGCCTCCCACCCGGTTGTCTAAGCGACACTGTATTTTTAGTGTGTCTTTTAATAATGCATGTATTCATATCATTAGCTAGAACTACTGGATCTGATCGATATGCGACATATAACGCGAGTGAAGTCTAATCTGACGCGACAGAGAGAGATCCAGACTGACGAGTCGACACGCAGCTCTGCATCATCACATGCAGCGTGGCCGGACAAAACACACACTTCAGGCTTAGAATATCACTCTAGCTATTCTTAATTACCGTTCAAACTACCTAAACTAGTTATACGATATGTTTCAGTTTTACTGTCGGGGTCACTCATTACTGGATCCGCGAGCTGCATGAATACTGGCATAATAGATTGGCCCGACTCGGAAGCCAGCAGGTGAGGCCTTCATTGCCCGAGCTAAATCACTAGATGGCCCCGGGCCATCGGGCAGTCCTTCAATGTCGAGCACTGATTTGGCCAATACAAAATAACCTTTGTTGGCAATCGGCAGGTCAACGTTTTCCTGTAAGTCTTCACAAGGTTTTCACACACTGTTCGGTCATTTTCGGCCATTCCTCCATGCAGATCTCCTCTAGAGCAGTGATGTTTTGGGGCTGTCGGCTGGGCAACACAGACTTTCACTCACTCCAAAGTTTTTCTATGAAGGTTGAGATCTGAGACTGGCTAGGCCACTCCAGGACCTCTTTGAAATGCTTCTTACGAAGCGACCACTCCTTCTGTTCCCGAGCGGTGTGTTTTGGGATCATTGTCTGCTGAAAACCCAGCCACGTTCTCATCTTCAATGCACCTTGCGCTGATGGAACGGAGGTTGTCACTCCCCCCATCTCACGATACATGGCCCCATTCATTCTTTCCTTTACATGGATTCAGTCGTCCTGGTCCCTTTGCAGAAAAACAGCCCCCAAAGCATGATGTTTCCACCCCCATGTTTCAGTAGGTATGGTGTTCTTTGGATGCAACTCAGCATCTCTTTCCTCCTCCAAACACCCTCGTCTAGTTGAGTTTTTACCAAAAGTACCTATTTTGGTTTCATCTGACCATATGACTATTCTCCCAAAATCCCTCTTCTGGATCATCTAAATGCCTCTAAGCTAAGCTCAGACGGCTGGACATGTACTGGCTTAAGCAGAGGGACACGTCGGGCACTGCAAGGATTTGAGTCCCTGGCGGCGTAGTGTGTTACTGATGGTAGCCTTTGTTACTTTGGTGCCCAGCTCGTCTGCAGGTCATCTGACTAGGTCCCCCCGTGTGGTTTGATTTTTGGCTCACCGTTCTGTGTGATCATTCTAACCCCACAGGGTGAGATTTTTTGCGTGGAGCCCCAGATCGAGGGAGATTATTCAGTGGTTTGTATGTTTCCATTTTCTAATAATTGCCCCAACAGTTGATTTCCTTCACCCAAGTCTGCTTACCTATTGCCGATGTAGTCTTCCCAGCCTGGTGCATTTTCTACATTTATTTCTGGTGTCCTTTGACAGCTCTTTGGTCTTGGCATAGTGGAGTTTGGAGTGTGACTGTTTGGGTTGTGACAGGTGTCTTTTATACTGATTAACGAGTTCAGATAACGGGTGGCCATTAATACAGTTAACAAGTGGAGGACAGAGGATGGCTCTTAAAGAACGAAGTAAAGGTCTTTGAGAGCCAGAAATCTGTTTGGTTTGTAGGTGACCAAATACTTATTTTACCGAGGAATTACATTAATCTTTAAAAATCCTACAATGTGATTCCTGGATTCTTTCCCCCCATGTCTGTCTCTCATAGTTGAGGTATAACTAGGATGAAAATTACAGCTCTCATCTTTAAGTGGAGAACTTGCCAATTGGTGCCTGACTAAATACCCTTTGTTGCCCCCACTGTACTCTGTAGTGGGAATTCTTTGGAGCATAACACTGGATAAACCCGGATTTGATGAACAATGAGGTTTATTGAAAGCCTGCCAAGAATGTCATTCAAACATAATAGAGAAGTGTTCACCCCGCTGTATGCCCCAGCTCAATTCTGCTCTGCATATTTACCGACTATTACGACACTTAACATATCTGCCTCGCCCTCTCAGTCAAGACATGTCTACCCGACTCTAAAGAACATGGACGCCAGATTAAGATAAAGATGGATGTCACTGCCTGGTGATGACCCAATACCTTAAAGATTCCTAACATGAATAGGCATTCTAACAAGTAATATGAAGAAGGTAATGTTTGGAAAAATAATGTATGTTACCACTATAGATAGGACATATTAGTGAGGCGTCCCGAATACCTTTTTCGGGGCTCCGGATATTACGGTAGTAATCAGCAGCGAAATTCGGCCCACACGGGGGGTGCGCGTAGTAATCTGCAGCGAACCGCTTCAACACTGTATTTCGCATTCATTTTGTTATTCTACAGTATATGTTGTTTTATGTTATTTGTTCATTGTATACACACAATTTGTGTTCTCCATGACATTGAAAAGGATACTTGCATTGTTTTGTTACTTTCGTTGCAGTTGTGTATCGATATAATATTGTCATTAAGTGTAATTTTGGCTTGGCTTCAATATTTCTGTCATGGACTGCTTTTATTTTGAAGGAGATTATCGCCTGCGTCTGACATGGAAGTTGAATGTTGCTATGTAAACACACGGACGGAGATTAACAGAGAAGTCATATCACATATAAAGACGGACAACGTAACCAATAAAGGTTTATGGTTAAGTGTTAGCCCGCACGAAGAGGCACAAGCATCTTACGTTGATATTGGAGATTTCAATAAATTCCATTTTTTCAAAAAAAATGAATCTCCAAATATACGAAATTGAAAACCCAATAGTACTCCAACGAACGAATATTTGGATATTTGGGTACAGCCCTAATATCACAGTAAAATATTCATACAACATCAGCTGGAAGACGCACAGACTAGCCGTTGACCATTATATTGTGATCTTGCTGTAAACAATATCAGTATTGTTATGTATGCCATAAGATTTTTTCGTCACACTTGCATCATAAATACTAATATGTTATTATAATTTTAAAGTTAATTTAAATCAATGAGATTTCTCATATAAACCACAGAATATTAGCTTAACTATTAGAGGTCACCTATTATGCAAATCCTCTTCTTCATGTCTCTTCTACATCAACATGATGTCCCCTCTTGTAAGAGATTCCTGAAAGTTTCAGGAAAAAAAGATTCTCTTTTGTCCTGATCCATTTTCTATAAAAACTGTCTGAAATGAGCTGATCAGATTTTTGGCCACTTTATGATGTCATAATGATTTTTGCGCTTTTGTAACCATTCAAGCCAATCACCAACCAAGGTAACCCCGCTCACTCCCGGGTCGCGAGATCCCCGAGCGGGTGCGGAGTGAACAAATTAATTAATTTTTTTAATCATTTTTTTTTATATTATTAATAATAAACGTGTGCATAAGAAAATTTTTCAGGGGGCGACTAGCCATCTGTATAATTTCCCGCAGCGAGGCTCCCCCTTTGGACATCCACTAGCCGGCCCAGTTTTCCAAACTTTTTCATACCAAGACAACTTCACATCAAAAAAACTCACGGCCACCTGACTCCACAATATCAAAAACAATAGGCCTGCTGCTTCCACTCCAACAGTTTATAACAGCCTAATAATGACAGCTTTACCTTCTCTACATCGCCTCGTTCACACAATAAATCAACTATCAGTGATGCAAATGAGTCGCTTTTCGGCGCCTCCCGCTTTTTTAATGCTGATTTGGGTGACTTGTGTAATTCGTGGAGAACCAAAGAGGTTTTTTTGGGGGGGGGGTCCGTCCGTACGTCAGTCCGACTGTAGGACAACTTCTCACTTCAGAAAAGAAGAAGAAATCTAGACCGCAAAAATAATTACACAAGTAAGTGCCTCTTTTTCCTGGCCAAGGACAGGTTCCTTGAACACGAGCTTAACGTGTCTTCACGTGGTATGTCTCGTCTGAAAGGAGAGTGTAAACTAGAGTGCTGACGGAGAGCACCGGAACGCAGCTCCAGCTCTTCCGATATTGCAGTACCCATAAGGAGCCGTACACACCACAGTGTTTGCGTGGCTGTGTCTTTAGTTGTAAGCACAGTAAGCAGAGGTTGAGTTCAATCATTTGTACGGCCCTCTGAGGATGTTGTAAAAATTGAAAGGAAAAAGGTTCCCCACCCCTGCTGTAAATAATAATAAAAACCCTTGATTTATAACTTAACATCTCTGTCTCCTATTGATCAGAGTATATTATAAAGAATAGCCAGTTAATTGAAGCATTATAGCATAGGCCTTTGTCAGATGGTATATTACGCTGTTTTTTTCTGCCTCGAATAGTTCTCTCTTTTTTCACCATACCTGTGTTTGCATCACTGAACTATACAAGTCAACTACAGATTATATAAGCATTTAGTTAAAATGCGATTTAAAATGCTCTCAGGTTTTACACCTGTAACGACGGGACGCCGTTACTAGAGCTCACGTGGACATGTTTATATAGGCTAATCATTGTTTTAATAGGTATATTGACGACAACTTCCCCTTTCCCCATGTCTGTTGCTGATTGTGTGCACCTGGTGCCCTGTGTTGTCTCCTCCCCCCTCACCTGTGTCTAATTGCTCCCCCCTCACCTGTTTCTTGTTAGTCTGGGTGTGTATTTAGGGGCTGTGTCTTCTTAGGCTGGGAGTGTGTGTGAGATTCTGGTGGCTGCAGGCTGGGCTCGCGTGAACAGCAGCAGGATTGAGTGTGTGTGAGATCTTTGTGCACATGTTTTAATAAATGACCACCCCGGGTTATAATTTTGGACATTCTGCCTCTGCCTCCTTGCTTGGTCGGGCCGCTCAACGGTCAGTCTCACAACACCTCTTATGAAATGTAGACTACATTTATTACGGAGTTTATGTCCGAGCCAACAGACTCACAGATCGTTGGCTACTGAGAGATATGCAAAATACACCGCATAGTACGTCACAAACCTCCGCTGTGGATTTTCAAAACAAAATACAGTAAAACTATGGTCGCAGGCCCAAGTTTAACTCTCTGAGGCCTGCATGGTCTGCCTACAAAACAAAAATAAAAAACGTTTATGCAGCCCCAACAACAGCCTCTGATCATCAACAGAATTCATGCAATGCTTCATTGGATGCATATATTAGATTATAATCTCTATCTCACTCCTAAAACATCTAAATCTACTTCCAGCATGGATAAATGTTAATAAAATACATCCATTGTTTGTTCTATATGATTCTTGAAATCCCAAAAAACACATCGTCTTTCTTGAACAGATTACAAATTGCCTGAAAATGTTACAAACAAGTAGCAACATGTTTGACGAAGGTGTTGGTCTGGGCTATATCATGAAACTTAAACTCGCTCCATTGCGAAGATATACCCGCGAGAGTGCGGAAAACTTAATTCACTTTTATCTGTTCTATATGTACCTTAGAGGAATATTTTTCTAGTTTTTAATACTCTTATCAACATATGAGTGGACAAATATGCTTTATGCAAATATTTGTTTATTATCATTGGAACAATGACAAATATTGACAAAATATTCTCAACACAACAAGCTCTGAACAATGACAAATATTCTAGTGAATATTCTCAACACAACAACCTCTGAACTATGACAAATATTCTCCTGAATATTTTCAATACAACAAACTGGAACCTCTCTCTCTCTCTCTCTCTTACACTCTCTCCCAACCCTGTGTACTTCTTTGCACTGAGCCAGTTTCTCAAACAGACAAGCCTGAACAGGCTTGTCTGTTTGAGAAACTGGCTCAGTGCAAAGAAGTACACAGGGTTGGGAGAGAGTGTAAGAGAGAGAGAGAGAGAGAGGTTCCAGTTTGTTGTATNTACTGGGGCTCGGTGCCCATCCCTACTTGTGACTGAATAACACCCTCTCTTGTTTATAAGCATGTGAAGCACACTGTTTGGGGAACTATTTGTCCCATGTGCTCTGTATGTGATGACTACTTCCATTCTTGCTTGGATGATAAATGCATGTATCCTGATATTGAAACTCAAGCCGGTGACAAGTGATATTTTCCTAACATATAACAACATTGATTCTGCCCTCACCTTGCAGTATGGCATTGATGGATGGAAAAATAGGCATGTCTAGAGCTGTGTAGTCAGGGTGAGGCAGCCTGAGGACACTGTTGGTACGGTGATGGGCGATGCTCCCGTAGCTATCTAATGTCACTAAACTCCCGTGAGTGCTACTGTTTGCAAGATGGAGGGCGGATCCAAAGCCTGGGGCCGCAGGGTGGTGGGCGAGGGGGTTAGGGTGAACATCGCCGGGTGGGGTGGAGCCGGAGACCAGTTTGGTGTTCATGAGGTTGTCCATGTCCTCGCTGTACTGGCTGTCCTGCCGGGGGAGGGTCTTCTGAATGGGCCGCGTGGTGGAGAGGTTAGGGACACTGCACTCCCTACAAGTGAGGAGTAAGAAGGAACAATAAGAGACGGAAAAAGAACGTTCTGATGGTATTCATAGAAAGGTGTGACAGGATCGCAGAAAATGTTGAGTACATTGAAGATGGAAGAAACCATGGGTCTAAATCAACAACTTTTCTAAGATTACATTTCTTCTCTAAACCAACTTTTACTAAGATTCTGACATCTACAAGTTTTCTTATTGAGGATTTAGGTAAGAACATAATCTAGCAGAGACGCAAAAAGTGAGTGTTGTAATGTTATTGCCCTTTCTTTAATACTACAGTTGTATAATATAGGATGTAAAATACAATATTATTTTATAATTCATGATTTTTTTTAATAAGATTACAAAGCATTGTGGGCTTTAACTAAACATCCATCTAAGAAATATTTAATTTAATGTTTCCTTCGTAGGGCCATACTTCACCAGATTCTCTTGAACATTTTTTTTAACTTTCTGTGTGGTCACTCATTGAAATTGATTACCTTCTATTTAGGAAAAATCTGCACTTCTTTCACTTTACAAGGACCATGGGATTCATCAATATAAGAACACAGGTGTAAACAATTCTTCGGTTTAAGAACACATCATGACTCTAACTTTTCTTAGGACTCAACCAACACGTTTAAAAGCAACCTTCGGAGGATATTGGTAAATGAGGCCCAATGAGGATAAACAGAAAACTTTGTTTCATGGACATACTTCCTTCTGTGCTGGCACATCCTCTTCCCCTCGCCGTCCGTCTGGTTTCCATGGCGATTTCTTCTTGGCCTCCTCTCACTGCCTTCCCCAGCTCCTTCCTGCTCTCCTCCTTCTCCACCTCCCTCCACCCCTCTGCTCTTATGTCTCCCTGTTTTCCCCGCTCCTCCGCCGCCATCCTCGCCCTCCTCTGCATTTTTCCGATGTGACCTGGGCTTCCTGTGCTCCGACTGTCCCGCGCCTCGACTGCCGCTCCGGGTGTGGTGATGGCGCCGGGCAGGCCTGTCCTCCGAGCCGGGCCCGGGAATCACCGTGGCATCCAGTCGGACATGAGAGGAGTGGTGGTGATGCTCGCTTTTACGACTGCGCCTGCTCTCCGAGGACTCGCCGCGCTCCAGGGGAGGCCTCGCCGTCCCAGAGCCCCCTCCTCCAACTCCTCCCACCTGGCCAACGTGTTCGTGGAGGCGTGTCTGTCTGTGGAGCTCGTCGGCAGGATGGTGCTGGCTGAAGCAGAGGTCTGCATTGTTTGCTGTGGTCTTGTTGGTGTTGTTGTTGCGGTTCTCATGGGGGTCAACAACCAGCGGGCGATCCAGGTGGGTCTTCATGTCTGGGCGGGAGTTACGTGCGAAGTTCACCTGCAAGGGGAGGATGGAAAGGCAACATAGAGGAAGATAGAGAAGGGAAAAGAAGAGGGAATTAAGTTAGAATTCATAATGGCCTTCACACATATAAACACCAGGTAAGCAACATGAGTCATCATCATTGCCGTCACTTGTGTACACTGATAGCACAAGCCTAAGGGGCTTGGTTTGCCTTGTCCTTTACATTGTTTTGCTCCTCCCTCCCTCCGCTTGCCTTCCAGTTCTCCTCAGTGTCCAGCTCGTTGTAGAGAGCCTCGCGGCTGGTCACCAGCGTCTGCCTCCTCAGCTCCTTGGTGCGTTGTTCCCACACCGACTTGTTGATTCCCCCCTTGTTGTTCTTCTGCTGCTCCTTACTGTAAAATAAAAACAGAATTAAAGACACTTGCTGCTGTGAGAATATACACACAAAGACGTGAGGATGATGTGAAAACCAGCAGAAAGTATAAGTAGGTAAAGCCAGGATGTAGAGACACACTGGGGGCCACACAGACTCTTAAAGGGTCTTTTGGTTGGAACAACCTAGCTCAATAAAACAAAGTTCTGGGTGTCGACACAGCTCGTCAAAACACCCAACAGCCTACTTTGGGAAACCATGTGGAGACACAATGGAGGGTAACACTGCGGCAAGGTCAGAATTATTTATAATAATCTATAATTTACCGGAAGAATACACAGTTTATGAAACAGAACCCAAGCTGAATTAACTAGAAAGCAGTCATTTTGAAATCTGTTATTGGTTACAATAGTAGTGTTTCCATAAAAATACATTTTAAAATTCTGAATAAATAAGCTGTGTGGAAATGGGAACATTTTCTCCAAATCTTGCAATAAAATTGGTGTATTGATCACTTGAGATGCTTTTTCCCTTTGTTAAAAACATATGTAATGTGTTAAATGGGATATGGAAAGGCCTTTGCAGATAAGTCAAACCTATTTCCTCTTTATATTTCAAAAACTTTCATTGAATTCGACTGACAATTGAATGTAACGACTGTAGTGTTTATATCTACCTGATAGAGAAACACCCAAATGATCAGTATCAATCTTTTCCAACCTCCAAAACATCTACACTTTATCCGCTTACACCCCCCCACCCCCTTTTTTCAAACAGGGCCAATAATAAACCACAGGAAAGCAACAGCCAAAATACAAGCCAAAACCAATAACAGCTAAATAAAAGCCAGGTATGTAATTCATAAAAAGGATAACAACAAAAGGGAAGGAAATGAAGGTTTTCTAAAACACAAAATAAAGCAGGGAATGGTTGTAGAGTCAATAAACAGAAAGGATTCAGAAATGAATAAACAAATAAATAAATACCAGTCCAGAAAGGGGTCGGTAGCGTTGTGACACTCACTGTGTACTTTGTTGCTGAGGAGGGAAACAGCTGGTGAGTGAGATGGCACGAAAGAACAGAGGGAGGATTTCATTCCAAAATGGGCTATCCATTCGCCATTTAAGCCAGCCTAGCCCGACAAATGGTCACAATCATAATAAAATGTGCTGTAAAAACAGACTTTCTACTAAAATAAGTTAAATATATTACTGAAATGCAAAAAGAAATGACGAATTAAAGGTGGGGTACAGTAGGTAATTTTGGAGAAACCAGCTCGATTGCGCTAGAATTTGAAAATACAAAGCCTGAAAAACTCTGCTACTTCCTTACAGAGCCCCTCCTCCAACACACACAAACGCGCACATGACCAATGAGGGCACGAGATAAGTTTGTGCACAAATGGAAGGCTGACAGGCAGGTAGGCCATCCAGTTATTTTAGCCGGACCGGCTCAGATGATTGGTCGTGCTTTTTACAGTACTACGGCTTCCACAGATTACATTTTTTAATGTATTTTTTGTCAAAGCATTTAAGATATTCATTGCTATCGGGATGTTAAGAGCATTCCATGGAATATAACAAAAAGTGTATCTCGAAGAAATGCTACATTTTTTGCCAAAAAGATTGAGCATTTTGGAATGCAACCCTTCACACACAAACACACATAGGCCTAAACACACACACACAAAATGCAACATGCACCCACACACACACACACACACACACACACACACACACACACACACACACACACACACACACACACACACACACACACACACAAACACATAGTGCATCTGTATTACATCACTCCCTGATCCTGCTGTTCTGTCCTTATCACTCTTTTGCATCTTTTACCATATATTTCTCAACCCTCTGCATTACCTCTGATCTTCCTTTGTGTCTGCACAGTGCTTTATTAAAGAGCCTGCTAAATAAAGAACAGTTCCAAATGAAAAATGTATACTTTCAAGACTGCTATCATCAACTGTGGTGAATAAACTACTAAAAACACAGTTAAACTCCTTCCCTATCTGATAAACTCACCACAGTGAAGTTATTTAAATTGGATTTGTTCCTGCAATCTGTTTAGATTGTAAAGCTGTGTTTGTATACTTAAAATTTAGAGCGTACCAGTAAGTATTATGTAGCCTATCAGGTGTTTTCATGTAGCCTTCATGGTAGCCTCCTCCTTGAATGTACCATAGAATATCTTCTTAAGAGATTCGTCATGCTCCACTGATGTCCCAGAGTTTAAAATCCTTGCTTGGAAAAACAAGGACTTTCTCTTTTGGAATTTCAATGTTTTTCCTTTTTTCATACTAAAAAAACAAGGGATTCACCCTGATACAGTGATTTAAATACACACTGCAGAGCTGCGTTGCCCCTACAGCAATGCACAGGATATTTCAAGATAACATTTAAGAGTTACCAAAATGTAATCTAAAACTCCAGGTTATAAAGTAGAAACATATTAAGCTACATTTAAAGACACCTGTCAAACAAGTGTATTTTTAATAATAATCACACACACACTTTCTCTTTCTCACACATACACACACAGATACATGTGCATCGTATTGACAGATACATGTTCAACCTCAAAAGGACTCCCAGGTAAAGTGTACTGGTACGAAGACACAAATGCTCACAGCACAGTGAAGAACAGTACTCACAGTAACAGGAAACAATGAGATTCACAAAATGATGAACACGTTATTATGAGCATGTATGTTTCAATCCTGTTTGCCCATTGCATTTGTGTGTGTGTGTGTGTGTGTGTGTGTGTGTGTGTGTGTGTGTGCGTGCGTGCGTGCGTGCGTGCATGTGTGTGTGTGATGCAGCGTAGGCAGAGGCTGATGTTTCACAGCGGTAAAGGTCAGAGCTGTGTGTACGGGTTGTGTGTTTGTGGTGTTTCCAAGCAGACGTGGGCTCCCCCGCTGTGATTTTTTTAGGGACAGACCACATAGTTGTGTGTGTGTGTGTGTGTGTGTGTGTGTGTGTGTGTGTGTGTGTGTGTGTGTGTGTGTGTGTGTGTGTGTGTGTGTGTGTGTGTGTGTGTGTGTGTGTGTGTGAACTTTAGAAGGAGTGAAAGGGAAGACCCCTGTGTATACAGAGAAAAGAGATCAAAGACTCTGACTCTCCTGACCAGAGGAGGGCTGGCCCAGATCAATCCAACACCGGCGTGTGTGTGTGTGTGTGTGTGTGTGTGTGTGTGTGTATGTGTGTGTGTGTGCGTGTGTGTGCATGTGTGCATGTGTGCGTGCTGATCGGAAGAGAGAAGAAAGCGTGCATGCATGTTTAGGCGTATCACTAAATGTGCTGTAGTTTGCTATAAAACAGCTTTAACATTCATGTCAGCCTACAGTATGAATGTAAACAAAATGAAAGTATCTTTATTCCAAGGAAGGCAATATTTTTAAGATATGTTGTAATTGTCTTTTTTGAAAATTGTGCTATTAAAAAAAAGAAATATGAAAAAGTACAACTCTTTGGATGATGGTAAATGAGTGAACAATCTGCAACCATGACAGTGAGCTTCTGCATTACACTGAAAAGACATCATGGGTAATTAGGCGTCTTTTACAAATGTGGTTCAAAGGTTATGAGAATGGCTTTCCATAAACTACGATGTATAATGCAACATGATGTAACAAATGTTTATAAAATATATTCCCAATGCATTCATACATTGTACAGCTATTACTTCAAGCAGCTGAATCTTTCATTAGTGCTTACATCGTGGTGGATGAATGAGTTTCTGTTTTTTGAAGGTATGTGCACATGTTCCACCCTAATACTCCTGCCTGGTGTGAAAAAGTTCAAAAAATTGGTACAAAAACCCAAATTCAACCTTAATAAGAAACAACAACTCACGCTGCGATGGAGAGGTTGGCGGCAGACATTGGGCTGACTTCAGCCACCTCCTTGGCTTTCTGCAGGGCGATCTTCTTACTGTTAGCTGCCTCTTCGTCCTGTTCGTCCTGTGGAGAGACATTCGGAAGGAAATCAAAATCAGAAATAATTTGTTGAGTAGAGGACCATAACTCTCTGAGAAATGGGACTGTAGGACTGTGTACCTTGGTCAGTTCCTGTGCGTTGGCTAAATTGTCCACAGCGATGGCCAAGAACACATTCAGCAGAGTGTCTGAACATGGAGTTAGAGGCATGTAGGAGTTTGTTTGTACTGTACGGGTAAATACAGCATTAACATAAACGAGCAGCTGGATCTCAACAGGAACCATTGTCAAATCCTTCATTTCAAAATACAGAAAAAGACCGTCTGTTTGCCTTAGTGGGATAAATGACAAGAAATAGGTGGATTAAAAAGTTAACACTAAGAAATATAATCTGTGTATGAAAAGTTGGGCTACAAAACAAAGATGATTACATTTTTATTGAAAACGCAATATGGACATGTGTAAAATCCAAATTGCAATAATCACAATATTTTGTGAGGGCAAAATATTAATTAACATAGTTATTTTTTTCAAAGAGTGCAATCATATGCATCTGAATCTGGATGGTGTACTCTGTAAGTCAGTTACTAAACCAACATATAAAGAATAACGGAAAGTGCCTTTATTTACAGTGTGAGTGTTTTGTGTGCTTATTTGCAGGTTTTTATGTAAAAAGGATACAGTTGCCAAAAAGTGTGAGCACGATGAAGAAGATGGAGAAGCCCATGCCCTTGTTGACTCCGCCCTGAGACTTGATGCCATCGTACATCACCATGTTCCAGTCCTCACCGGTCAGGATCTGACACACACACACACACACACACACACACACACACACACACACACACACACACACACACACACACACACACACACACACACACAGTTAAGCACAATTAAACCTTTCACTTGAGACATTTGTCAATTCAAAAGTAGCATTTTACATTTTTCCTTGTGTGAATATCCTCTTTAGTTCTTAAACCATGTTGTCCTAATCCAACCCTTGTCCCTCCCCCGCCTCCACCAGCCTCTCCCTCCCTTCCTCCCTTTCACACCACCCCCTCTGCTTACCTGGAACACCGTCATTATTGCTGCGGGGAAGGTGTCAAAGTTGGTCGGAGGAGTGCCATTTGGAAAATTAAACCTAGTAGAGGAAAAACATGAAATGGAAGAGAAATGTAAACCAGAAGCGTGAGGTAAAAGAAGTATGTTATAGGTAGAACACATATCGTCAATTATTTCATTTTCTTAAGAAAGAGACGCAGAGGTTAAGGGAAGCAGCACTGACTGTCCTCCGAAGAGCTGCATGCCCAGCAGGGCAAAGACAACTATGAAGAGGAAGAGCAGGAAGAGCAAGCTGATGATGGACTTCATAGAGTTGAGCAGTGAGACGACAAGATTGCGCAAAGATTTCCAGTACCTGGGAAGAAGAAGACAGAACGAGTGTGTTAAGCTGAGCGCAATGTTATGTCCAATGCATGAATATGAGGAATAGAAGTGAAGCTAGAGTACTCACTTGGTGACTTTGAAAATCCTCAATAACCTGAGAGCTCGAAGCACGCTGATGCCAAACGACGTGCCCGGCTGGATGATGGACCACAGCACTTCAAATATACTACCACATATCACCTAAAGCAAACACAAGCATATGCACGCATGTCATTCATCATGATGAGCCAACGCATCATCCCTGTATTTGTGTTTGTGTGCGAGGTCTAATTGTCTGTGTGGTTATGTTATTAAATGTGTGCATAGTGGTGTGAAATGAGTGTTTGCACCTGCTTATGGATTTGTGTGTGTGTGTGTGTGTGTGTGTGTGTGTGTGTGTGTGTGTGTGTGTGTGTGTGTGTGTGTGTGTGTGAGAGAGAGATTTTGTATCTTACCCACTGCCAGGTCTCCCTCCCCTTCCTCTGGGTTCAGCAGCTCAGCTTTGCTCTTATGGTTCTTTGTGGCTCTTCTACGTGAGCCTGCAATAGAAACATGATGTGTTTATTTTTGACAGTGCTGACATGTTACATATATTTGTATCATTTGGTTTTAAAATCACAGCCATACAACACAGTTAATAAGAAAGTTCTTACCATCATAAGCCGTGACATTGTCATCATCCGCCAAGATGACCTCCTCTGCGAAACACATATTAAACAAAAATATGTTAATATGTTAATATTGAATTTGTTTGATGACTTACACAGTGTCTGTCAATCTTTTGTTATCATCGTCATTTCTTATTTTGATTCAAACCGGAAACAAAGTGTCTGTCCTGCACCTGTGCCTGCTTCTCATCCCTCCCTCCTTTGTATTCTAGCTTCCTTGTTTTTATGTAGATTGTCTTTTCAAGAAGATCAAAGGTCTGCCCTTTTCCCCCTGCCGCTGCATCCAACATCCAACCCTCCATTCCTCTTATCTTCTCCACATCTTCCCTGCCCTCAGCAGTGAGAAGACAAAAGAGACGAAGAGAACTACAGGCAGGCAGTCTTCTCCATCGAAGCTTCAAAGAAGGGGCTTTAATCCTTGCTAAATGAGTGTAAATCAAAGCTGTTCACTTATATTTAGTGCACTGGCTGTAATTCAAGTTGTGTTTGCATTTGAAGGAGAGTTATGACTACAATACACTGCCCAGAAACATACCTAATAATCTAACCTTTATGATTGAATTGTTTTAATGTAAATCATGATTTGAGTTGGTGTCAGTGTGCTTCAAACTATCAAAACTTTACAATAACAGTTTTTTTGATTAAAGAAAATACAGTTAAAATGAGTAAGTATTATCTCAGTTGCAGCTGCTTCACAATAAAATCCATCAGATTATTATTTATTAGTCATAGGCTATTACCGTAAAGCACCAAACAGATGCTTTAATATCGTACTAATATCACAATCCTGACTATGTAAGTTGTTGGCAAAGGATCATTATTGTGTTTTTTTGCAATATGTTTATACATTACACGACATGTCATTTGTTAGACGCTTTAATCCAAAGCGACTAACATACGTGGACAATCCCCACAGGAGCAATTTGGGGTGAAGTGTCTTGCCCAGGGACACAACGACATGCTGACTGCAGTGGGACTCGAACTTGCTACCCCCTGATTCGAAGTCCAGCACACCATCCACTGAGCCACAGCCGCCTCCACATGTCTACATGTCTCTGTGCGTGATGAATGAACACGTACCAGCTTTGCAGATCCACTCCAGATATCCGTTGAGTTCCCTTTCTATCTGCTGCTGTCTTCTGAGCTTCAGGAACTCACTCCTGTTCTCCACACGCTCTCTCTCTTTGGCAAACTCCCTGCAGACAACACACACACACACACACACACACACACACACACACACACACACACACACACACACACACACACACACACACACACACACACACACCACCAAGTTAGACACTTTTAATGATACCCTGCATGTTTTACTGTGACATAAAAACACGTTTTTTTAACCGCCAATGGATATGGGAAGTGCACTTGTGTATCAACAACAATTACAATATAGTTGTCACAAACACACACACTTACCCTGACAACACACCCAGCACCAGGTTGAGCATGAAGAAGGAGCCGATGATGATGAGTAAGGAGCCGATGATGATGAGGGGGATGAAGTACATCCAGTTCCATGCACTCCCTGAGGCATCGTTGCTCTGTGAACACACACGCACACAAGAAAGTAATCAATTAACAAATGGCGACATCAGAACATGTGGCATGTATTTGCGAGACCCAGGTTACAACAGGTATGCATTTGCACGAGTTAACTGCACTGGCATATGATTGGATCCGTCCTTGCTGAATGTAATGCTTTTTTTTAAAAGACAAACTCGATATCCAAGCATTTAATAAAATACCAGTTCCATTTATTAGCCTGCTTATCAAGTTAAGGTGCATTTCTTAGCATCCAGGTACTGCACACATGGTATAAGGATAGGAAATATATCGATATAAGATCACTACCCTGATATGAGGCTGGATATCCTGCTAGATTTTGGATATCATAATTCTCTTTTTGTGGTATTAAACGCTGCATTACAGAACATTTTCTTAACTCAGGCAGTTTTTTTTATTTGCCCTTTAACCACTTAGTGATTTAATCAACATTACTGTTTATTGTTAATCAAAAATCTAATTGTGTGAATAGTTTGTGAAAGCAATACTCAACCATACAATATAGTTGTGATACCGATATGGAGGTACTATTTTTTATTTTCTAATTATCGTCCAGCCCTGTTACATCTGGAGTAAACATGCAAGAAAATGTCACATAAAGTAGACATTAAACAATGTGGCATTAAAAAAAAAAAATGGAGGTCAGTTCACTTCAAAGTGCCGTCCACAGCTGTGGGAAACATAAACAACAGCAAGGCGGACATGATTTTACTTTAAGTCATCTCAATAAGTAAATGCATATCTGCCACTCTACTTAGCTACTCAGTGCAGAGTAAATAATGTATAACAAATGCTTTGGTCTCTCCCCCTCTCTATCTGCACCATCCTGCTGTCCAGACTCTCCTTACATTTTCTTTATTCTCTCCTTATGGTTTCCTCCTTTTGCATCACTCTTCGTTTCTTCTGCTTCCCCTTTTTATTTTATTCGTTTTAATTTTTTCTAACATTTCCTACTCTATTGCTTTTTTCTGATCAGCCTCTAAACTGATTCTTCATATCACCCCTTCCCACCCCTAGACCCCCTCTTCTCTTTCCTGTTTTGCGCCCTCTTTCTCAGAGGCTTGCAGTCTAGCGTCCCCCTGTCTCCTCCGTCCTCCATCTTTCCTTCTTCCTGCATGTAAGCTGGCATTGCTGCTGTGAACCCAATATACCGCAGACCCTTTTTTCTACCATTAAACTTTTATCGCTCCCCTCCCCAGCAGCTGCAAGAATAACTTGGGCTGAACAGGCCCTTTTAAATATAGAGCAGCACCGGGAAGGAGGGACACGGGGCGAGAGACACAGAGTGCGAGGGGAAAAGAGGAAGGAATGAAATGAGGGGAGGAGAGGGAGAAAAAGAAAAAAAGAAGAGAGGGATGAAGAAAGAGAAGGAGCAGCGAGAAGACTGAGAGGGAGAGGAGGAGGGGGGGAGAGGCGACTACAGTTACACTCAAAGACCCTCATCTACCTCTGGTCTCCTAGCAACCGTTACCACTGACAGCAGGGAACTGCTCGGTCTTGGGCATGAGTGATGACACTGTTCAGGACCAGGTACCTATTTCTGGGCAGGCTCTCAGGGTGCACAGGTAGAATCAGTGGAGGTTTTTATGCTTTAATATAAAATGTAATGGGAGAAAATAATCTTGGATGTTTCGGTTGTGCAGTATCAAAATGTAGAGACTTCTGACAGACATGTTGGACGAACATAAGACAAATGTTAAGCTATATTTGACGGGGAATATTTAATTTATTTTTCCATACATCGAGTGGCAGTTTTATCCTAACAAACAATCCAACAAAATGGCCGCCAAGTATGAGAATAATGTCAATACAAACCAAGGTATTGCTGATAAAAACAAGGTTAACATGGCTAACAAACTGATACTGTATGTGATTCTTAGTAATTGGTGTTTATCTGCTAGTACAGCATATCTATAAAAGTGCTGATGAAGTTTGAATTCTGTATCATTATCTTCTTTTCTTGAATGCTTGCCTCTATTGTGCACCTGAACCTACTGGATCTGAAACTCTCAAATGATTGACTTGAAACTTTAACAACTGTTTTTTTTACAAGGTCTGCATGACTGGAGGTAATCAGGAATATGTTTGGCTTGTTTACATTAGCCATTTAAACAGCTTAGAAGGAATAAAGTCTTTCAAAAAATGTAATATTTCTTCCTGCATTTTGTCAGGGGCTGTGTAAAGGTGTTGAAAACTGTGTTGAGCACTACATACATAGTAGAGCAGGTCAGTCCAGCCCTCCATGGTGATACACTGGAAGACGGTGAGGATAGCAAACAGGATGTTGTCAAACTGGGTGATGCCGTAGTTTGGTCCCGTCCAGTACCTTCGACACAAGGTGCCCTCTGGACACAGCCGCGACGGAAGCTCTGTCCCACATGGATACTCTTCTTTCATCTCACCTGAACACCAAAGAATGAGGGGAGGAGTTTCAAAACAAAAGGTAGTCGTAGGAAATTATGTTGTTTGTTAAAATGTGTCACCTTACTTTCTGGAATTAAATATGTCAAGAAATAGGATACAAAACAAAAGGTATAGGCGGTATAAAAACAATTATCAAAAAACAAAATAGGCTCACCTGCTTGAATTATTGAGACATTTAACATCGTATATTCTCAATAGACCAAGAAACAACAGTTTTGTTTCTTGGTAGATGAGATACTATTTTTATAATGTCATCTATATATACAGAGAAAAGAGGCAAATTATGCATAAACAAGAAAATAATTAGAAATGTTCTGTGGAAACTGCCTTTCATCACATAAACACAGAATTGAGGCACTGTAAACAATCTAAAGCCAATTATGTTATTTTGCTGAACTAAATTGCCTTTCTATTTTTAGTACTGTGACTATTAATAGTCTAGCCTCAGCCGGAACAGGTGTTCATTGGGGTAAACAGCAAATTAACTAGCACTGTTGGCAAAAACAACACACACACACACACACACACACACACACACACACACACACACACACACACACACACACACACACACACACACACACACACACACACACACACACACACATACACACACACAATCCTTTACCTGTGTGATTGTCATAGCATGTTGTGTGGAATTTGCCCATGTAGAACTCCAGGCCGATGATGGCGAACATGAGGATGGCGAAGAAAAGAAGCATGCCAATCTGCAGCAGAGGAATCATGGCCTTCATGATGGATTTGAGCACCACCTGTAAGCCTGGAGGACAAAGTGCAAACAGTGTTGAGAATTATTATTAACCATCATTAATTTACATTTATATGCGTTTTCATCGAGAGGATCAGGTGCAAGGATCTGAAGAGGGGTGCTCCTTCCTCTAATTATTAATAGCAGTTTAAATCTTTAAAAAAGTAACCCTTCATGTCCTCCACTGTCAGCATGACTTGTTTAATTTGTCATAATGTAAACCATAAACACAAAAAGACTTGGCTTAGTACTCTATTTACTTTGCTGGCAGAATGTCACCAGAGGTAAAATGAGGTTTATAGAGGTTTTCTGAAAAACATTTTCTAACAAACAAAAGGTCTCCAAGCACTCGTTTGTGGCAGTTTCTATTTAATGTGAAATGTTGTTTTGTGGAAACCAATCACATTTATCAAATGTATATCACTTATTGGAAGGAAGCTGTAATTTGGTTTTCATGGGGAGCTTAGTGACTTTTGTGATGAGTAAGCCTTGGTTTGCCTGTTCAGCTCTGTAGTGGAGTCCACGCTATTAATAACACTGCAGTGGTGCTGGAACACTACTGCTGCTATAACATTTAAAAAAATAAAAAAAGAAGCAGAGAGTACATCCACTTGTATTAGAACACTTTGGGTGCATTATGAAGAACACAGAAGCTGCATAACACCTTCACATAAAAAGCTTCTTTATGCTATTTCTGATCCACCAATAAAACCTGAACAAGTTCTGCAGCTAAGCTAAACTGAGCTAAGCTAAAAAAAATCCTCAGCTTAGGAACAACAAATATACTGTTTGTGGTAAAGGCAGGAGACTACTAAAAAACAAATAAGTCTTTATTTTTCAATGCAGAATGAAGAGATTGGACTTACTGGGAATACCGGACACCAGTTTGAGGGGCCTCAATACTCGCACAGCCCTGAGGGTCCGCAGGTCGAAATCTGAGCCTATAGTGGACAGGATCCTAAAGGGAAGGAGACAAATGCACAAATGTGAGCAAAGGCAATCAATATGTAAGCTAGTCAAGCTGTCAGTCAGCCTCATTCATACACACGCGTTTACAAACAAGCACACACTTTAACGCAGACCCCTTGCCAGGTCATTACAAGCTACTGGGTGAGCACTGTATGTAAATCCTGTAAGAGCAGAGCTGATCAATACAGCTGACAAGTGAAGAAAGGCAGAGAAGTGTATCAGGGCGAGAAAGGGATGGGCTGAAGGGACTATGTTTTTCAACAGGATGATAGAAAGACTTTAAAATGAAAGAGGAGAGATGGGGTGATGGGTAGGAGAGGGAGGATGGGAGGACAAGAGGGCGGGGGGAGCGAGAGAGAGAGAGAGGGAGCGCTGGCAGATGGTGAGAAACAAAGATGCTGACTTGCTTATTTCCACCTATTTTTATTCTCGTTACGTTCAAACTGTTTATCTTGGAGGTGTCGCCAGACTGCAGAGTAACCGTGTGTTGGTGTGTGTCTCAGCGCCGATAACACCGCTCATCATCGGAATAAAAGGCTTGTGAACAGCATGTGTGTGTATGTTCGTGCTTCAGTTGTTTAAGATGTTCCCTCGTGCCGCCAGACTTCCAGTCAATCCTCTGGTCTGACGCACACTGTGAATCATCCTCCTTCCCACTTCTCTCTCTCTCTCTCTCTCTGACACATTTCCACTTTCATCTGTTCCACTAAGAGGCCCAGTGACACAGCAGAGCCTTAATCACAGGTTTGAAGTCAGCCCTCTTTTGTGTGGAAACCTTTAAAAATGTCAGGAAAGGGAAAAGTAACACCAATCCTGAATCTATTGAAGGACGCTGTATTGAATGACCGGGAAGCCCACCCCCAGTGGTATGTGCTCCATCACTAGTGTAGGCTGGGGTCCTTGTAATGACATTGTGTGATATCAAATACCTCAACAGAGGCTGACTTGTAACTGAGAGGTCCTGTGCAACACTGTACAGCTGTGTGAAGCAGAAACATCATGGCAGATGTTCCCTTTAGTAGCTCACTGAACCATATATTCTGACTAGGGCTGTCAAGTTTTTTTAAGGCCACTAATTATTTTAACGTGCGATTAACGCATGTGTATTTGTCCTCGGTCCGCCCCGTAGTTTCAGAGCCCAAAGGCTTGACGTTGTTGTTATTGTTAGTTGGATGGTGGCAGATTCTAGCGAGAGGTATGGATACAATAAAAGGTGTTTTAAACAGCAAGCCAAGCACACAGCTGACCCAGCTAGCGGGGAATGTTCTCACAACTTTGGCTAACGTTACCTATTGGTTCTAACAAGGTTTTAAAGAAACGTTTTAATCTGATGTTCAAAGAACCTTTTTAGGATGTTTATTTGTTCAAATAATGTTCCTATAAGGTTTAAGGTTAACTAAGACATAACATTTTAACATTCAGAGGATGTTTTGAGGATGTTATTAAGGCCTGAGATGACAGAAAGTTTTTTTATAAAACGTTCCTTTAATGTGATATGTTACTTTTGAAAATTCTTGTCATCCCGTATTACAAGATTATTACAATAGTTTTTGTAGAATTCTTCCAATAGTTTTTGTAGAATTCCTTCCAATAGTGGTTTGTAAAGGTCTTACAAAATTTCTTGCAATAGCGTATGGAAAGTCTTCATGTAAGACCCTTGGTTTTATTTTGCAGGGCGACTTTTTGAAGTGATCGTTGTTGCTTACCATTTGTTGTGTAAAGCATCGACCCTTGAGTGTGTAGGGTGGCGTTTGTAAGTTATGGACGAAATGTCGATAGACTTAATGCACGATTAAACCAAAAAAAGTTTTCCTCAAAAAAAAATTTTATAGGAATAAAGTTTTGTTTACGTTTTGAAACAAAAATTCGCGAGATAGATCTTGTATTTAGACTGCAACGGTACTAGGCACAATTATAAACGGTATTGCTCATTGCAAAAATATTTCTTTCTTATTGTAGGACTTTTGGTAAAGTCTTACAAAAAACCTCTACAAGAAGTTAACAATAGTAACATTGTAACAACCCCCCTTGAAAATATTCTTGTAGAAATTTACCACAATGAGGTCTGTGTGCAGGTTTTGTGTAGGAATTCTTACAACGTCCTTTTTACAAGTGGAAACAATTGCATAGTTAATTTCCTTTTATAACATATTTTGTGAAAGACAGTGGAGTCAGGAGTTATTGTAGGACTTTTGTAAAAGTTCTTATCAAAGAAACCTTACAAGAAGTAAACAATAGTACATTGTAACTCCCTTGTAAAATATGTTGGGAAAGAGAGTAGAGTCCGAGTTATTGTAGGACTTTTGTTAAAAGTCTTACAACGAACTTTTACAAGAAGTAAACAATAAGGTACATTGTACTCCCTTGCAAAATATTTCTTGTAAGAAATTACACTATGGGTTGTTGCAGGTTTTCGTGTAGGAATCTTACAACGTCGTTTTGCAAG